TATGCATAACAAATACTGTAATAAATCACTCCACGCCCGCTCCACGTGGATTGTTAGTCTCTTGCAAATTTTCCCGTCATATAATGGAATTCTTTTAATTTTGGCAAGGTGTTGTAGAACTGTGGCAATTACGACGTCTGGTATATTTCTCTTCCTGTCTTCGTCCGACAAATTATATTTACCTAGGTGGTGCCCGCACTTCTTAGCATTTTAGGGGCGGGAACGTATACTACGTAAATGCAGTGTGCAATGTGTTGGACGAAGACAAAAACAGACACATAGAGATGTATTATTTTAAGTTTAACATGGTGAGTCATCAGAATCCGACAACGGACTGTCAGTCAGTAACGTAACATCCACACTTCAAAAGGGGGGTTTTTTAAATTATTTTTTTTAAATCGCAAACAATAACATAGGAAAACATAAACTTAAGTGAACTGGTCAACACGCTATATGCAAAATATGCAAAAGATATTAGTTAGGTACCTACTTGTAAGCAATGGCAACCTTTATAATCTCCTATTTGCGCCCAGGTATCCTATGACCTTTTTGGGGATGAGACCTACTACGTGGAATAAACTAACCGTGGCGCGCAAGTGACCAACACCCAAAATGGGTATAGGTAAATTGGCTTTGAGGTCAATGGATGGTAGATTTTATGATACTGAAGATTAAATTACCTCCTGTGGCGACGGGATCATCTGTAGGTATTTTATTTCCTGCGGTCAAGGATGTGACGTTAATCGGAGTTACAGAAATATCATGTTTAAACGAACAAATCCCATCTGTAAATTCATAAAATTTCGGTTCCTAGAATTTCGTGACGGTACTACTTATAAAGGGGTAGAATCTCTAAATTATTTACTTTAACTTTACATTCAAAAATCCGATAGTAACGAAAATAAGGAAATATGTTTACCAAGTAACACTAAATTTGTTAAAACTATTAGGTGTAATCGTTCAAACATCAAGGGACAAAGTCAATCAAATTTTGTTTTATTTTAACAAAAATGCCGCCTCTGATGTTTGTTATCTGAACGTGCTAATAGCCGAATCCTTCCGAAGTATAGACATAAACAGTCGAACTTAAGCGAGGATGTCCTGAAAATACCTTTTTTCCCGTTGGCAGGAACTGTTAAGATAAGACTGATTTTGGCAAATAGCCTACTCACTAAGAAAATAGAGGACGGGTGGGCGGGGCTACTATTTTGTAAGATAAGACTGATTTCGGTAAATGACATAACCTGTAAGAAAATAGAGGGTGGGTGGGCGGGGCTAGTACCTGCTAAGATAAGACTGATTTTGTCAAAGAACGTACTCACTAAGAAAATAGCGGGTGGGTGGGTGGGGCTAGTATCTGTTAAGATAAGACTGATTTTGGCAAATGACGTACCCTCTAAGAAAATAGAGGGCGGGTGGGCGGAACGACTATCTCATAAAATATGAGTGATTTTGGTAATTGACATAACCTCTTAGAAATAAAGGGTGCGTGGGCAGGGCTAGTACCTGCTAAGACAAGATTGATTTTGGCAAATGACGTACTCACTAAGAAAATAAAAAATACCTGCTAAGATATGACTGATTTTGGCAAATGACGTACCTTCTAAGAAAATTGAAGGGGTCCATGTGAGAAATAAAGAAAACTGACAGTTTTGCAGATTTAATCAACCTGTATACATAATTAAAACCCGTCTATAAACACAAGGTGACTAAAAAATCTTGTGCAAATCTTGCATTAGTCTAGGGTTTGAAAAAGTAGGTGCTCCGTTTCCGTCTGTGTGTCATCTGTCGTTTCCAAAACTACTAGATTATTATGAAATTTTAGATATATTTTAGTAATCAATTTTTATTTAACTTTTCTAAGAAAATGGATTGGATTGTATTTCAAATAATTGAAATTATTTTATGCAAAGGGTTGAACATTATCTCTAAAAAAATTCTACCTGAAGAAGGTTATCCATAATTTAGAGTGTTTATAATCAACCTAACCTCCTCTAACGGGACCTAACCAGTTCGTACACTATCCTCAAACATATTTGGCGTTTATGACTTCACACCAATTTGACCCACATTATAATTCAATAGGCCGTCACAACCGGATGTCTTAAACCCGCTCACCGATACCTACCTGAAAAGACCTTTTGACGTGCCAGGGACGGTCGAGACGCGAAGGACCGGACTCAGAGTAATTTTGTTTGTTAAAATTTTCAAATTTCAAAATTTCCTCACAGAACTTATACTTATACTTTGAAGAAAATTACACAAAGACACAATTATTAGAAGTGTTACACACTCGAAAATTTGAGAAACAATATAAAATAGATGCTATGCCGCGAGATCGTGGATATAGGGTGATTAGACTTCCGCCGTACCATTGTATATTTAACCCCATCGAACTAATCTGGTCGCAAATGAAAAATAATATAAGAAGGAATAATACGGCACCAAAATTTAGTAGTGCAACAATTGACATAATTAGGGAAGAAGCTTCCAAAATAACTGCCGAAATGTGGGCCAATTGTGTACGACATTCCACAAAAGAAGAAGACCAGTACAAGGCACGGTTGATAACACCCTTAATTATTAATTTAGAAGAGTCGAGTGATGATGACAGTGACTATTTCGATCAATAAATAAGCAGTAGTAGTGAATAAGTAAATAGTTGTGATGTAATAAAAAATGATTGAGTACAAAGTTACTTTGTTTTTACTTTAAAATAAAAAACTCGAAAGGCGCAGTTGTCGGTAAATGCAAAACTCAGTCCTGCCCTGTGCTTTTACCAGAAAAGGTCTTTTCCACGGAGGTAGAAGAGACCGGAGGGAGCGTACCGTATGCTAGCAATGTAACGATTCTGGCATCGTTCAAGACCCGGTCAGACACCGGTTATGATCTTATTTGAACAAGGCGCCAATATTTGCCAGCCCGACGCAAACGCGCCCCTACACTCAACAGCTGACAGGGTTTGGATTTCCATTGGCGTACTATCACGTAACACGTGCTGTTTATATGCAATTGTTCGTTCTTGAGTTTGAGTTTAGTTGTGCTGTTTTAGTTTTGGACGTGTTGTTGGTGTTTTTAATTTGAATAGACTTTGATTATAACTAACGATCATAATAACATTTAGAGACTTATATATTAGGTAGTCAACATAAAATATGTTGCCCCGCCACTGGTTACGACTGCTAAACATTTAGAGGGTGGAGCTTAGCACAGCGCGCATTTCAAGTAGGGTCATAAACGGTGCCTGAGTCTGTGCCACAAAATTCACGACACCTTCCCTCCGGTCTCTTCTACCTCCGTGGTCTTTTCAGGTAGGTATCGGTGAGCGGGTTTAAGACATCCGGTTGTGACGGCCTATTGAATTATAATGGGAGTCAAATTGGTGTGAAGTCATAAACGCCAAATATGTTTGAGGATAGTATAACATTTTACAATCGTCACTAACCCTAACAACATTCCGAGTATAATATGTATTTCTGCTTTTTCAACCTAATTGTAAAACGTTTCCAATCTGAGAGCTGTTTTCATCTTCATGTTACAGTAGTTTGTAGATAAGTACTTATATTTTATGCAATACTGCACCTTTTGGTAATGTAGATTAAAAAAAAAACAATTGAGCGACAAATTTTGATTAGCGTTTTATATTTTAAAATTTCGTAATTATCATTCCAGTATTTTTGAACACAATCTTCAACAAACGACAGATGACAGGCAGACGACGGGCAGACGGATTTTTTTTTTTTATTTAAAGACTTACTTAGGCCTACTTTAGTCGTCTTTAAATGTCGAGAAAAAATGAAATCAGCATTCATCTTAAAATACTTACGATGGGGAAGTATCACTGGTAATGAATTGAGTTCACTGACTTAGTAGCATTAATTTCCGTTGCTTAGATACATCAAAAAGTAACTATATTGCGATTAAGAAGCAATTTAGTGTTGGCGTCGCCGCCTCCCCAGGGACTGAAGCAGCAAGGTCGAGGGAGGAACCGCTATTCTATGACCGCTCACGAAACACTAGAGTACTGGAGGTTAAAGTACCCCAGAGAAACAGCCCCCGTTCTGACGTACGTCGCAACCACCCCCAAGATATCGGCGAAAACCGTACCGCCACCTCCGTATTAGCATATCTTCAAATATGTATAGTTTTAAAACATTCAGACTTTTTCTTCTGGGGTCATTTCAAGTCCCTAACTTTTGTAATGATTAGAAAATATGTCACCAGGTTTTTTATTAACGTTGCAATTATGAACGTTAATAAAATGAACGATCATTTGATTTGGTCCAAGGTCATATCTTGTTACATTGGTACCTGAAGTGCCTTAACTCCGATCCAAACTAATAAGAGCACCTATTATAAATTTCCCGACCTCGAGCGGAGTTGAGGTTTTCTTAATAAAATAATCTCTAACCTAAAATAAAAAAAAATAATGCTTAATTTATTAAGGATTATTAGGTTTCGTGAAAATAAACACAATTCTGTATAATCCCTTGCCGTTCCACCTACCTTACCCGAACGGGGATGGGATCTAACTAAGATTAGTAACTAAGTAGTAGTAATAAACAATTGTTGGTAATTGTTTAGTAAATGTTGGGTAAATGAGTAATTGTCGTAAATGTAGTGAATATGGCAAATGTGGTAAATGTAAATGTGATGTACATAACAAACGTTGTTCGAACAGTAAGTACTCCATTCCGGCGCACGCGCGAGTGAGCGGAAGTAGTACGCTACTGAACGTAAAAGGTGCATGAGTGAACGGTTTTCCTCTCGCGTGTTCCTCGTTGTACTTCTCAAAATCAGGCTACCAAGAACCAGGGGCCCCTGTCACCGCCAGCAGGATACTCCAGGTTAGTGGTACTTCTCAGTTATTCTCGGTCCTTCGCGCAAAGTTAAGTCACGGCACCCCGCGTGCACATTTGGTCCTAATCGAAGCCGGATCATAACCTCAAATTTGTCGGTTTATCGGTTTCTCGATCGACGCTTTATCGCGTATCGCCGCAATGACTAACGAAGAATTGTTGCAATCTCAAATTAAGAAGCTCGCCGTACTGAAATCTACACGGGAAAAGTTATTTGCTCAAGTTCAAAACTGTTATGACTCCGTGAAGAGAACCACCGTTGATACAGCTCTTCAGTTCAAGCCTCGGTACGAAAAACTAGAGGTTATTGAGATAGAAATGGATAAGACTCAGAATGCAATTATTCAGCTAAATGCAGATTTATTGGATAATCGCCATGCTCTCGAAGTCTGTAAGGTGCAAACAGCTTTCGATGATTTAGTATTTAACACACGTGGTCGTTATTTAGACCTGGTGAAGACACAACCTCCGCAGCAAACCAGCAGTAATTCGGTCGCCAACAGCAACCAGCATTTGCCCAGAATAAATATCCCTACGTTCACCGGTCGCATCGAAGAATGGTCGGCGTTTTTCTCACTGTTCGATTCGGTTGTCCACAAAAACGATGCGTTATCAGAAGCTGAAAAATTCCAGTATTTGCGCTCTTATCTGCGAGATGACGCATTAACAGTCATTGCCAATTTTCATTTAACCCCCGAAAATTACGCACTGGCGTATGAGGCATTGCAACTTCGCTACCAGAATAAAAGACGGTTGGCGACTCACTACGTCAATCAAATTCTAGGTTTTACTCCTTTATCATCCCCAAGTTCTAGCAGTTTGAGACATTTTTTGAATATTCATTCGAATTCCATTAATGCTCTTAAGGCTTTGAATCTTCAAGACCTTGGTGATTTTTTGCTGTTTCAATTATCGTTTGCAAATTTGGATCCTGTATCTAGAAAAGCTTTTGAGAATAGGCAAAGTTCAAATTCCGTTCCCAGCTATCAGGCGTTAATTGATTTCATAACGGATCAGAATCGAACGTACGAACTTCTCTCTCAGGACACAAAATCACCGAAATGTAAATCTCTATCAGTTAAGTCATTTCGTGCTTCACTCATGACAAATGCCAAATCCGATGCCTACTCTACGTGCTCTGTCCCGTGCGTGCTCTGCAAAGGTTCACATCCCTTTCCGGCATGCAGCGAATTTCTCCAGAAAACAAATGAACAGAAATATGATACGTTAAAGAGATTGAGACGATGTTTCAACTGTTTGGGTGCTCATAATCGAAATGAATGTCAATCTCGTAAAACTTGTCGTATTTGTCACAGCAACAAGCATCACTCCGTGTTACACCAGGAGTCCAAGGTGGATACCTCCGAAACTAGTACTTCTCCCTCTGTAGAGGAAAGAAAATCTCCCGTTGTGTTTTCGTGCAAGACCTCAGCGGAGCGCAACACTGTTTTACTAGCGACTGTGACAGCCCTGATCCAAGACTGTAATGGAGATTATCACAAGATAAGAGCTGTGGTTGATCCCGGCTCTCAAGTATCAGTGATTACTTCATCAACGGCGCAACATTTGGGATTAAAAAGAAGCAGATCTCCCATTGAAGTTACTGGCATCGCCAGTTTTCCTGTCCGAACTCAAGGTCTCATTCGTACCACTCTACGCTCTAGAACTCGTGCTGATGTCGTAAACGTTCACGCTGTTGTCCTTTCGGATATTCCTAATAAATTTCCTAGTCAGACGTTACCTTCTCACATTAAGGATCAGTTCAGTCATCTAACGTTAGCTGATGAAAACTTCCATCAAGCTGCTCGCGTTGAATTCTTAATTGGAGCAGATCTATATCCTCACATTTTATGTAATACGCAGCCTAATGTTATTCAAGGACAACCCTCTGCCATTGACACAATCTTTGGATGGATAATTATAGGCTCGATTTCATCTTCAACAAATTCCCCCTTGTGTTCTCTTCTCACATGCACCGATTCTCTTGATGATACCGTTCGTAAGTTTTGGGAAACTGAGACTCTCGCTGATAACCTTTCAGTCTCCAATCCTGAAGATGACTTTTGTCAAGCTCATTTCAAGGACACGCACTATCGCGATCGTTCAGGCAGATATGTGGTATCAATGCCAGTCCGTGAGCAGCGCTCGCCGCTTCTCAGCAACCGAGAGACAACTCTGAACACTTATCTCAAAATGGAAACTCGAATGTCTCGACGTCCTCAACTCAACGCTGCTTATATCACTTTTCTCCAAGAATACCGCGATCTCGGACATATGCAACTAGCCGCAAAACCTTCCGTGTACGTAATGCCTCATCATTGTGTTCAAAAGGAAACTAGTTCAACTACCAAAGTGCGAGTTGTGTTTAACGGATCCTCCCCTGACTCAAACGGGACAACGCTTAATCAGCAACTTCTGCCCGGTCCTAAGCTACAAAAGGATTTGAGCCACATTCTCATGAATTTTCGCCTTCATGCTATAGCAGTCACAGCGGATATTCAACAGATGTATAGACAGATTTGGTTGAATCCAAAGCAACGTTATCTCCAGCACATATTCTGGAGGCCAGATCCCGCTTCTAATGTGCAGGAGTATGAGTTAAAAACAGTGACATATGGTTTAGCACCATCAGCATATCTTGCTCAGCGTGTCCTTCTCCAGCTCGTCGAGGACGAAGGGCATGAGTTCCCATTGGCAGTACAAGCTATCACAGAAAGCACCTATGTGGACGATATTGCGCATGGTGCCTCTACAGTTGAGGAAGCGAAGTCGCTACAGTTACAACTCGCAAACCTACTCAATCGTGGCGGTTTCCAGCTGAGAAAATGGGCTAGTAATGATCCAATTGCTCTAGATCATGTTCCAGAACAGCATCGTGAATCTCCGTTGAATTTCTCAAGTGACGATCCTTCTATTAAGATTCTTGGATTACGGTGGGATCCTCGGTCTGATACTTTCACCTATTATGTACAAGAATTTGATTCTCAAGTTACCAAGCGCACTGTTCTTTCTTATATCGCTCGAATCTTTGATCCCATGGGGTGGTTATCTCCAATTGTATTTTGGGCTAAGCATTTTCTGCAACAGATATGGATCTCTAAAGTGGGCTATGATGATATCCTGCCGCCTTCCCTATCGGAGGCTTGGGGAAGGTTTTCTTCTCAAATGCGGTGTCTACGCGCACTTAAAATTCCTCGATACATTCTCCAAAGTTTGCCACGTTTGCTCTTGGTGGGATTCTCGGACGCTTCCTCTAAAGGATACTCCGCTTGCATCTATTTACATGCGTATGATTCCAGTAGCACTTGTAGCAATTATCTTTTGAAGGCCAAGAACAAAGTGGCACCCCTCAAGACATTGACTATTCCTCGATTGGAACTCTGTGGAGCGTTGTTATTATCTAGACTACTTCGTGATGTGATTAAATCTCTTAAAGCCGTAAGATTTGAAAATGTTCATCTCTATACCGATTCTCAGATTGTCCTTGCATGGCTCCACACCTCTCCTCATCTTCTCAAAACCTACGTGGCCAATCGTGTAGTTCGCATATTAGAGCATACATCTCTTCACCAATGGGCACACACAGTGTCGAATCAAAATTCAGCCGACTTTGCGTCTCGAGGATTATTTCCCGAAGAGATCATGGATTGTCATTCCTGGTGGAATGGACCAGATTTTATGCAGAATCCGCCGTCCAAGTGGCCCGTAAGATACGATAATTATGTCGCACCCGAAGAGCTCCCTGAGCGTAAAAACGATCCTATAGTTTTGCGCATTCAAGCCGACCCAGAAAATCCTCTGTATGAAGTTGTGTCACGATTTTCTTCATTGAGTAGACTACAACGCGCTTTCGCATTTATTCGCCGATGGCTACTCCGAATAAGATGTCCCGAGATGAAGGGTCCACTCTCAAGCGAAGAGATGCGATACTCGACCTTATTGCTTGTGCGTCTCACACAGCAAAACCATTTTCCTCTGCTCATAGAAGAGTTGCGTTCCAAAGGTCACACCACAACTCCATTAAAGAAGCTGTCCCCATTCTTGGATGCAATGGGTATAGTTAGGGTGGGCGGACGGCTACGACACTCCGCCCTTCCCCTAGATGCGAAACACCCTCTGCTTTTACCTCAGAAAGCTCATCTCTCGGCGTTAATTTGCGACTACTATCATCTGTACGCTTGCCACGCTGGACCTAGAAGCGTGCAGACGCTTATACAGCAGAAGTTCTGGATAATATCGATTCGATCCCTCCTACGGCAGCGCATTTTTCGCTGCATTCGCTGTTTTAAGTTTAAATCGAAACTTGTATTTCCCTTCATGGCTGATCTACCACCAGCTCGAGTTCAACCTAGCAAACCGTTTTCCTCTGTTGGCATTGACTTTGCCGGACCCTTCACGGTCAGGGAAAGTCGTCGACGTAAGGCCCACACATACAAAGGGTATCTCTGTTTATTCATATGTATGTCTACGAAAGCGGTCCATTTAGAAATGGTCTCGGAACTCTCCACGAAAGCCTTCTTAGCCTCGCTCAACAGATTCACCGCACGCCGTGGTCTACCCTCTGACATATACTCTGATTGCGGACGTAACTTTCTCGGCGCCGCTCGCCACCTGAGGGAGGTGAGTCAGTTTCTACGTTCGCACTCCTCTGAGATAACGAGTTCCTTAACTTCTTTGGAGATAAAATGGCATTTTAACCCTCCAGCCGCCCCCAATTTTGGCGGCCTATGGGAGGCTGCGATCAAATCCGCAAAGAGTCTCTTGTATCGATCAATCGGCACCTCTCTCTTAACTTTCGAAGAGTACAGCACGCTATTTTGTAAGATTGAGGCGGTATTGAACAGCCGTCCCTTATGTGCCGTCACCTCTAACCCAGAAGACGCTGTAGATTACCTAAGCCCTGGACATTTCTTAGTCGGCAGACCGTTATTGCAACCTCCTGAAGCTCCCTTGGAGGACAACTTGAATTGTACCTGTCGGTGGCAACTACTCTCCCAGCTGTATCAGCGGTTCTGGAAGAGGTGGTCTACGGAGTATCTCCATACTCAACTCCAACGTCAGAAGTGGAATAAGGATCAACCAAACATTCAACCCGGCGCCATTGTCGCATTGTATGGCGCAGAAACTACCCCCCTTTCATGGCCGTTAGGACGCGTACAAGAGGTACATCCTGGAACCGATGGAGTCGTCCGTGTGGCCACAGTGAAAACCTCGACCGGTTTATATACGCGTCCGGTAAACAAGCTCGTGATTCTCCCAACCCAATTCTCAATGGAGAATTGAGTGAACTCTCATAATGTACAAACGTCATATTTGTAATCGAGTAAAAAGTAAAATTAATTCTATTAAATATAAATTAAGTAGGAAAAATTTGCTTCCGAAGGCATGGTCGAAACTCTGTTATGTTCTTCTGTCGAGTGGGAATGGAAACTAATAATAGTATCTAGAATAGTCTAATGAAAAAAGTAAAAAAAAAACGCTAATCGTATTTTTTTTTGTTATAGTATTTGCTATAAAATTTATTTGTATTTTAATGCATCTGTCCTGACTTGACCTACCGTGACCTGACCTCTTCTAGTTAGAAAAATAGTCGAAAATGTCAAAAGTGTCAAAGTCAGTTTTATCTTATCAAATATTAGCCCCGCCCTCCCACCCTCTATTTTTTTGGAAGGTATTTGATTTGCCAAAATCAGCCTTGTCTTAGTAAGTACTAGGCTCCCCCTCTCTTCTATTTCTAACGACTAATTTTACTTCTGTTAAGTGTAAGGTCATTTATTTGATTCAAATCGGATAAAATCGATCACTGAAAAAGAGGCAGGGTGGGTGGGCGGGGCTAGTTATGTTCTTCTGTCGAGTGGGACTGGAAACTAATAATAGAATCCAGAATAGTCTAATAAAAAAAGTAAAAAAAGGCTAATCGTATTTTTTTTTTTTTTTTGTTATACTATTTGCTATAAAATTTATTTCTGATTTCAAGCATCTGACCTGACACGACTTACCGTGACCTGACCACTTCTAGTTAGAAAAATTGTCAAAAATGTCAAAAGTGCCAAAATCAGTTTTATCTCATCAAATATTATTCATTTTGATAAAAAATTTACCATGTTTATGATAACTTTAAAACATTTACAAGTTTTCAAAGCATTCGATTTTGTAGTTCTTGATTAAATCAATAAAATAAATTCACGCATTCATTTTTTTTTTTAGTCACCCTGTATATGCAAATCCAAAAAATATGAATGGAATGGTAAATCACGAGTACAGACCCATCATATTTTGTACATTTTAGATAGGATTTATTCAGCAAAATTTTGGGGTGACGTCAATTTTTTATCTTAGTAAGTACTAGCCTCCCCCCCTCTTCTATTTCTAAGGACTAATTTTACTTCTGTTAAGTATAAGCTCATTTATTTGATTCAGATCGGATAAAATCGATCACTGAAAAAGAGGCAGGGTGGGTGGGCGGGGATAGTTATTTCTTCTGTCGAGTGGGACTGGAAACTAATAATAGAATCTAGAATAATCTAATAAGAAAAGTGAAAAAAGGCTAATCGTATTTTTTTTTGTTATAGTATTTGCTATAAAATTTATTTGTTATTTCATGCATCTGACCTGACTTGACCTACCGTGACCTGACCTCTTATAGTTAGAAATATATTCGAAAATGTCAAAAGTGTCAAAATCAGTTTTATCTTATCAAATATTAGCCCCGCCCACCCAGCCCCTGTTTTTTTGGAAGGTATTTGATTTTCCAAAATCAGCCTTGTCTTAGTAAGTACTAGGCTCCCCCTCTCTTCTATTTCTAACGACTAATTTTACTTCTCTTAAGTGTAAGGTCATTAATTTGATTCAAATCGGATAAAATCGATCACTGAAAAAGAGGCAGGGTGGGTGGGTGGGTCTAGTGATGTTCTTCTGTCGAGTGGGACTGGAAACTAATAATAGAATCTAGAATAGTCCAATAAAAAAATTAAAAAAAGGCTAACCGTATTTTTTTTAGTTATGCTATTTGCTATAAAATTTATTTCTTATTTTAAGCATCTGACCTGACTCGACCTACCGTGGCCGTGACCTGACCACTTCTAGTTAGAAAAATAGTCGAAAATGTCAAAAGTGCCAAAATCAGTTTTATCTCATCAAATATTATTCATTTTGATAAAAAAAATGATCATGTTTATGATAACTTTAAAACATTTCCAAGTTTTCAAAGCATTCGATTTTGTAGTTCTTAATTAAATCAATAAAATAAATTTACGCATTCATTTTTTTTTTGAGTCACCCTGTATATGCAAATCCAAAAAATATGAATGGAATGATAAATCACGAGTACAGACCCATCATATTTTGTACATTTTAGATAGGATTTATTCAGCAAAATTTTGGGGTGACGTCAATTTTTTATCTTAGTAAGTACTAGCCTCCCCCCCTCTTCTATTTCTAAGGACTAATTTTACTTCTGTTAAGTATAAGCTCATTTATTTGATTCAGATCGGATAAAATCGATCACTGAAAAAGAGGCAGGGTGGGTGGGCGGGGATAGTTATTTCTTCTGTCGAGTGGGACTGGAAACTAATAATAGAATCTAGAATAATCTAATAAGAAAAGTGAAAAAAGGCTAATCGTATTTTTTTTTTGTTATAGTATTTGCTATAAAATTTATTTGTTATTTCATGCATCTGACCTGACTTGACCTACCGTGACCTGACCTCTTCTAGTTAGAAATATATTCGAAAATGTCAAAAGTGTCAAAATCAGTTTTATCTTATCAAATATTAGCCCCGCCCACCCAGCCCCTGTTTTTTTGGAAGGTATTTGATTTTCCAAAATCAGCCTTGTCTTAGTAAGTACTAGGCTCCCCCTCTCTTCTATTTCTAACGACTAATTTTACTTCTCTTAAGTGTAAGGTCATTAATTTGATTCAAATCGGATAAAATCGATCACTGAAAAAGAGGCAGGGTGGGTGGGTGGGTCTAGTGATGTTCTTCTGTCGAGGAGTGGGAGTGGAAACTAATAATAGAATCTAGAATAGTCTAATGAAAAAAGTAAAAAAAAACTCGAATCGTATTTTTTTTCGTTATAGTATTTGCTATAAAATTTATTTGTTATTTCATGCATCTGACCTGACTTGACTTACCGTGACCTGACCTCTTCTAGTTAGAAAAATAGTCGAAAATGTCAAAAGTGTCAAAATCAGTTTTATCTTGTCAAATATTAGCCCCGCCCACCCACCTTCTGTTTTTTTGGAAGGTATTTGATTTGCCAAAATCAGCCTTGTCTTAGTAAGTACTAGGCTCTCCCCTCTCTTCTATTTCTAACGACTAATTTTACTTCTGTTAAGTGTAAGGTCATTTATTTTATTCAGATCGGATAAAATCGATCACTGAAAAAGAGGCAGGGTAGGTGGGCGGGGCTAGTTATGTTCTTCTGTCGAGTGGGACTGGAAATTAATAATAGAATCTAGAATAGTGTAATAAAAAAAGTAAAAAAAGCTAATCGTATTTTTTTTTTGTTATACTATTTGCTATAAAATTTATTTCTTATTTCAAGCATCTGACCTTACTCGACTTACCGTGACCTGACCACTTCTAGTTAGAAAAATAGTCGAAAATGTCAAAAGTGCCAAAATCAATTTTATCTCATCAAATATTATTCATTTTGATAAAAAATTTACCATGTTTAGGATAACTTTAAAACATTTCCAAGTTTTCAAAGCATTCCATTTTGTGGTTTCTGATTAAATCAATAAAATAAATTCACGCATTCTTTTTTTTTTTGAGTCACTGTATATGCAAATCCAAAAAATATGAATGGAATGATAAATCACGAGTGCAGACCCATCATATTTTGTAGATTTTAGATAGGATTTATTCAGCGAAATTTTGGGGTGACGTCAATTTTTTATCTTAATAAGTACTAGCCTCCCCCCCTCTTCTATTTCTAAGGACTAATTTTACTTCTGTTAAGTATAAGGTCATTTATTTGATTCAGATTGGATAAAATCGATCACTGAAAAAGAGGCAGGGAATGGAAACTAATAATAGAATCTAGCATAGTCTAATGAAAAAAGTAAAAAAAGAAAACGCTAATCGTATTTTTTTTGTTATAGTATTTGCTATAAAATTGATTTGTTATTTCATGCATCTGACCTGACTTGACCTACCGTGACCTGACCTCTTCTAGTTAGAAAAATAGTCGAAAATGTCAAAAGTGTCAAAATCAGCTGTATCTTAACAAATATTAGCCCCGTCCGCCCACCCTCTGTTTTTTTGGAAGGTATTTGATTTGCCAAGATCAGCCTTATCTTAGTAAGTACTAGCCTCCCCCCCTCTTCTATTTCTAATGTTAGATTTGAGCCCGTCTGGCTGCCGTTCCGTTGCCCCCGGGGGCTTCGTCATATTCCAGACGGCATCAAATCCCGAAGGACCTCCTGAATTCCCTTTCTGCCAGGAATGCAACGGGGTCGCGCGCTTCGCTCGCGCTAGTTCGGGATTTATAAATCTCTCGTGCTGTCAAGTTTTAGTAAATCAATGTAGCGATGCGGGGGTTTATCGTGGCACTTAGCAGCGCCGTCGGAGAGCGTCCGCAGCTTCCGGTCCCGGGCGGTGGGTATCGGGTGTATCCTTGGGTGACAAGAGGTTGTCTGCACCGGGGGCGGCCGGCCGTTAGTTTCCGTCACAGGTGTGGCCCAGTTTGGAAATTCAGCATTCCGTGAGCAGGATTTATGGCCGGGGGCCGTAACGAGTTCTTGAACAATGGTGCGGCTCGGCGTCAAAAGCCCTCGGAATTTGACTACACTCGACTGTGCAGTCCGTGGAAACAGATAATTTCTTTCAATCTGGCGGTCTGATGGAGTTCCGGGCCGGAGAATAAGGCGAAGCTGCGTGAAATATTAGATCGCGAGGGCACAATGGCTCGTAAGCGACCATCGCAATCGACTTAAGAGCGTCCCATATTGAAAATCACAGACAAAGGTACGTTTTCAATCTCGCCGGAGTCGGTGATTTGATTTGTAGGCAATCGAGTCCGCTCCGATTGTTTGACTTTTTATTTGCTCGCATCGCTTATAATATCGGGATCGATGCTCGGTTAATTTCCCCGTGGAAGTGTCGCAAGTTTGCGGCTGCATGTCGAGCGGCGGCATTGTGGGCGGCTAGTCGGCCGTGAGACTGATAATGGCGACGACACAATGGAACTTGTACGTTATGCAGCGCCGTCGTTATCCCGGTGCAGGCATTAATGCGCTGTGAAATTGTTAATTTTAACGCGCCTATCTAAGACGCTTA